GTCATAGAAGCAAGTGTTTTAAGATGGTAAAGCCATACAGTGAAAGGAACTCAGATTTTTGATTCACTGTTTGAAGGAAAGACCCCTAGCAGAATCATCCAACTCCCACTGTGGTGTACTTGAGAGATAATTATTTATTCTTTTAAGCTGCTGAGATTTGGGGGTTCTATATTATAATAATCAGCTTATTTTAACTAACTTGAGAGAAGCCTAAGATAAACAAATATTAGAAATCATAGAGGTAATGGGAGGTCCCATTATCAAGGGTAAAGATTAGGCATTTATTCTGATATCAGAAGTCATGCAACTCTTTACAGTTAGGAAAGTGACATGATCTGACTTTGGGTTGAAAGAGATAATGGATGAACAAGGGTGTTTGCAGGGGCATCAGTTAGGAAGCTGTTGCAGTAATCCAAGTGAAAAATGATAATGGTTTTGGCCAGGTGGTAGCAGTAGAAATAGTGAGAATTTTTTAGCTTCTGCATGTATTCCAAATGTGGAGCTGACAGTATATACTGATAGCTTGGATGTGGTTTATGAGTGAAAGAGATGGGTGAAGGATGACTCCAAGTTTTGTGTGGTAATTTCCTGAGATGGGAAAGATACTTAAAGGACAACTTTCCATGTCTTTATAACATGAAAGGTGAGCACTTCAGTTTTTGTTCCCAGAAGGCTCAGGAATAGGCGAAACTAGATATTTCTCAAGCCTGCTTGTTAAGGTCGTCTCAAGATCAATGATAAAAAATTGCATTTGAAATTAGTAATATAAATTTCTTCCTATTATTAAATTCTCAAAAAATTAAATTTCTTTCTCCTTGTAAAATTCTCTTTTAAAATAGAAAAAAAAAAGTCTTTCTTGTCTCCTTATTCAGTTGAGTGTGAGCGTTTCATTAGCCATGCTGGATGGAGTTGGGTCTTGTACACAGCAACTGCAAGCTGGGCCACAAATTCTCACTTTTAGGGGAAGTTTCCAAGAGAATTACCAGAATTGAGTATAGAGTTTATCCCTATCATATTGCTTTTGCTTGTCAAAATTTAGTATGTTGGAGGATAAAGAAATAATAAGAGAAAACAGAAAAAATGAATGTTACTACTACCTCTATAGAGTAGCGGCTAGTTTTTGCTGGTTATTTTTATTTACAACTATGAGTATAAGTGTTATCATCAGCAATTTCTCAGATGATTGTCATTTGTAGCACCACATATCTCATTTGATAGGGAAATTTTACCTATGCATAGGGCCTTTTCCAAGAGTGGCACTGAGATTTCAAAATTTTTGAATATTTTTGCATGTTGAGACATTGTTATTATTCAGCTTTTATCCAAAGTTTCCTTTATCCTTTTAGTGTTTCTCCCTTCTTCTTAAGGGTCTTAATTACATGTTTGTTGCTGTTTGTGTTACTAAATATGCAATCCTACACTGAATATGGAATCTATCTCAGGAGATGGAGAATCATCCTCAACCATTTCCTGAAGTCAAAATTCTTTTTTTTTTTTTGTGAGGAAGATCAGCCCTGAGCTAACATCCATGCTAATCCCCCTCTTTTTGCTGAGGAAGACCGGCTCTGAGCTAACATCTATTGCCAATCCTCCTCCTTTTCCCCCCCAAAGCCCCAGTAGATAGTTGTATGTCATAGTTGCACATCCTTCTAGTTGCTGTATGTGGGACACCACCTCAGCATGGCCAGACAAGCAGTGCATCAGTGCTGCCCCCGGGATCCGAACCCCGGGCCACCAGTAGCAGAGCGCATGCACTTAACTGCTAAGCCACGGGGCCGGCCCCAAAATTCTAATGATATCAAAATTTGTATCCTTTTGGGCCCCAAAGAATCAAAATTTCAAAATATTGTTCTCAGTCTTTGAATTTTCCAGGCCATTAGTAACTTGTGTCACTGCACTAGCAGCAGGTACATTACTTTCTGCAACCACTTTTCCACCAGCAGAGGGATGTGACTCCAGTGCATCTCTGCCTTCAGTTCTCCTTCCTCTCCTTGTAAGCAGTCCAAGGTGAGTTTTAAAAATATTAACCTACTTCTTAATTAAGTTCCTATTCTTCCTACCTCATGTAGGGCCAACTCTGTTTGCAGGATCTCAGCCCTTTACATTTTCTTTCCCCTGATTTTCAGGTTCAAACAGACAACTAGGAACTGATTTATGAGGATTCGTATGTTTGAAGATATGAAGGTATGAGTTTGCCAAAGCACTCATTCATTGCTCAAACAAATAGCACCCATCTTTCCACGTCTGAGTACGGTGATTTAACTAAGGAGTTATTCTCTCATCAACCCAATACCTAACTCCAATCTGAATTCTATCTATTGCCACTGTGGTATAAAATGGCCCTCCCAAGAGTTATCTCTGTTCTAATCCCTGGACCTATAAAGGTTACCTTATTTGGCAAAAAAGGATGTTTGAGAGAGGTGTTTAAGTTAAGGATTTTAAAATGGAGAGATTATCCTGGATTATCTGGGTAGGCCCTAAATATTATCACATGTATCATTATAGAGGGAGGCAGAGGAAGATTTGAACACACATAGAGGAGAGAGCATTGTAAAGAAGAGGGTAGACAGATATTCGATAATGCATTCCTTGAAGACTGGAATGATGCAGTGGCAAGATAAGGAATGGTAGTAGCCACAGAAAGAAACTGGAAGAGTCAAAGCTCCCCAAAAGCCTGTTGAGGGACCTTGGCCCTGCTGACACATTGATTCTAGCCCAGTAAAAGGGATTTTGGACCTCCAGAACTGTGAGAGAATGAGTTTTTGGGCTTCCAGAACTGTGAAATAATGAATTTTTGTTGGTTAAGCCATCAACTTTGTGGTAATTTGTTGCAACAGCCAGAAGAAACTAATATAGCCATCACGCCTAACTTCATGTTAGTTTGTGTTATATTCTAATTTCTAATAAAGTTCTAATTCCATGTTTTCTTGGTATGCTTTCTCATCCTGCCTCTGACACTTTTCCAGCTCTATTATCTTTGGCAAATCATTTATCTTCTCTGTTACTCAGTTTCCTAATGTTTAAAATGGGGATAATAGTAATACCTACTTATATGGTTATTATAAGGGCTTGATAAATTAATATTTGTTAGGAGCTTAGTACAGCACCTAGCACTGGCAAGTGCTATGTAAGGTGATATGAAATAAATCTACTTTAAAAAGTAGATAACACATTTTGGGGTAAGGAGAATGCAGAGAGAGTTATGGAATGATAGTTGTCTCCCCTTCAACTACCTTCTTCCACTTTCAGGAGAAATAATTAGGAAACAAAAGATAAAAAAATTCTATTTGTGTTGTGAGCTTTTTTAGACAGTGTTTGTTCAAAAGACAGGCATATATTGCTGTCATATGTTTAAATCTCTGACAATTTTTGTTTTCATAGTTAGGAAGCAGCCTTTTAAAATTTTAAATTGGAAAAAATACGTCATAAACATCATTTCTGTATAAATTAAGTCCAATGAAAAAATACCATAACACAACCAATATGGTGAGATAGATATTTTTAATATGACAGAAGGAAAGTCTTTGGAAAAGAAAGTAAATTTTTGTAGATTTCACTGATTTCTGTACCAGTATCTGAAAAAGGAAAATAATATATTAGTTTTATATAGTAGAGTTACCAAATTACTTGCACTTACAGCAAAATTTATTTTGTTGATCTATGAACTTAATGTTAAAGAACTATACTGAATGGTCATCTACAAATCTATGCTACAATTAAATACACATTTAAGAGAATCAAGCTTGTTTTCTTCTATCTTCTTGTAGATATTATGCATTCTTGTAACAATTAATTCATTTAAAAATGCAATGTTAATTCAATGTTATAATTTATTTGCATACATGTATATGCTATACAGGACTTTTTTGGGTATTAGGTTCAGTTCAATACAGTCTCCTGATACTGAATAATTTGAAGTAGAATTTTTTCTCTACTTTAAGAGACTTTTCCAGAAAAGTAGCACTCTTTCCTTTACCTGTTGTGAATTAAGTAATTAACATAGTAAGAAACTAAATACAAATCCTTACTGAAATTATTAAATTTATTTAGTATCTTGAACTAATTCACCAACCAAGACCCTTTTATCTTATATAATAGATAAATAAATAAATACCAAAGGAATATAGCAATAGTCAGGGTTTAACTAAAAAGTAAAGCCTTTCAATTTCCTTGGCAACAGCTGCTGTTTAGAGGCATCACCAACAATACTAACTGCCATCACGCCTGGTTTTCAATTCCACTTCAGCTACTGTTGTCCCTTCAGTAGAAATTCTGATCTGGCTGACAATCAAATAAAGCCTTGCCATTTTCCTGTCTAGTGAATGTTTATAACAGTAAAATTGGAACAGCTTTAGGAAGGAGTGAAGGAAGGAGAACTTGCAATGGAGGTAATCAAGTTTTTTGCTTAGATGACTAAGATGGAATGAGTCCTGAATGAGCTTTTTGACCAGAGCCTTTCTTCCTAGGACAGTGTGTAATGGGGGTTGGGGAGCAAGGTTGTGGGAAGGAGGTGGGAACTGAGAGATTTTAGATGTAAATTGCTTTTTGTTTTTTCCTAAAATAGTGGTTCTCAGAATGGGGTAAGTGTGGTGACTGAATGGATAACATACAGAATGATCTGTGAGAACTTTAACAATGGTTCCTCTCATCTATAATTCAACCCCCTTCCCCATATGGAAGTTTCTTCCCTAGATTGACCACTATTATTTTAGAATATTCAAGTAATAATCAATTTGGATCAATTTAAGGAAGAACTATCTAGTTGTCCAAACGTTACCTGAGTTCCTTACACAGGACATGAATTCATAATTTCAGAGGTTCTGGGCCACAGACCACCAGTACCTCCCTACATCCCACTTTCTTGTTTTCATGTAGAAAAAATATATTCAAAGGTAGTTTCAGATGATGAGATTTAGTCTATTTAATGTGTGATTTTTAAATTTCATTATCCTATATGACTTACAGAAACAAATGCATGGTACTCTCCTCTCTGGAAAATTTCATTCTGTTACCTAAAAAAAAAGAGATCTTACACAATGATAAAATGTACTTCATTTCATAGTATTGGGCCTATCTTTTCTGAATAATTTTTAGTCTCTAAGAAGTTGTGTCCTGGTGATCTCTTCATAACGCATGTTTAGAATACTCTAGATTGCCACCAGATTTAGTTTTGGAAACAGAACAGGTCAAATCACTTACTCTCAACGAAGATCCTTAATAAATTCCTTTGACTACATGACAAAGTCCCAGGTATTTATCAGTGTACCCCTTCTTATAAATCTTATTTCTTTTTATCCACACTTTCTAACATTTCCCTTCTATCCCCATGTGAGCCATGAACTACAGGTATACACTAGTAGATGGATAGTGCTTTGTGTCAAAGAAACCTACTGAATGAACGTGTTAATATGTGCAGCGTTGTAGAATGGGACTAGCTCTTTATACTTCTCTGGAGCAGTTCTAAACAACTTTTAACTTGATCTTGATCCACATCAGGAACAAGGGAACAAGAAGAAAAGTTCGTACCTTCTTCTAGAAAACAACTACTAGGAGTATCGATTAGTGGCAATGTACCGCAGAAATTATTCACCGGTAGTTATAAGCTCTCGTTTTTTTTTCAGCCTGTGTCCAGGGTTCAGAGTATCTTCCATGTGGTTTGGAATCCCACTTTCTCTTTATAAAATAGCCACTTGCTTGGGCTACATATACTAAAAGTTAGGGACTAAGTGCTTCTTAAATATTTTTTCAAAAAATTGTTATTTTTAAAAAGTTCAGAGAACTGTATTTTAGTTCAAGATGAATAACAGAAACTGGATTTATCTTCTCGCCTGAAACATATTTTCAAAGAGTACCAGCAATATGAGAAGCAACAGTTTCTGAGGATCTGAACATTAGGCTGTAACAGACAGTTATCCCTAAAAGACAAGAAGGAAATGGGATGAACCATATGACTATCCTAGCTTCCTGCCTGGAGAGTTTCCAGGCCTTAGTGAAGGGAGATGGAGCTGGGAGTCCAGGAACAAGGTGGCTGAAATTCACAGGGCAAAGCACCTGAGAGGAAGAGGGGGACAAAGTAGATACAAGGATCTAAGGAGGTTACCCTCATATTTTCAACTGAATATAGATTATTTGTATAAAGATACTACCTGAAGCCAGGTAAACAACCACTTAAAAGGACAAAATGGAACTATATCTGGTGTTCACACAGGGCAGGGAACAGTTTTTGATCCCACAAGCCAGAGTAGAAAAACCTCAGAATTCACAGCGCATATGACGGAGCACTCAGAATGGTTTGATCTCTGTGATGGAAACAATTAGCCTTAGATAAAAATGTTTTTCTGTTCCCGCTTAATAAAGCTTAAAGCATAGTGACCTAATGGCATCCTAGAATAAAGCTCATAATGCATGTATGTGTATATAATATGTATATTTGAAAAACAATGCTCTCCCTTAATATCAGAAACAAAGCATGGATGTCCATCTAATAACTTTTATTTAACATTGAACTGGAGGTTTAAGCCAGTACAGTATGCAATGAATAAAAAAATAAATGTCATCCATTTTGGAAATTAAAATGTTCATCAATAGATGAATGGGCAGAAAAATTGTGATATATCCATATAATGAAATACTACTCTGCAAAAAAATTTAGACAGATCTATTGATATACATAGTTGCATGGATAAATCTCAAAATAATTGTGCTGAGTGAAAGAAGCCAAACTCAAAATTCCACTTACATAAAATTCTAGAAAATGCAAACCAATCTGTAGTGACAGAAAATAGATCAGGGATAGGAAAAATGGGAGAGTGGGATTAGGAAGGAACAGGAGGAAACTGGCTGTGGTGGATATATTTATTATCCTGGTAATTTGTTTCATGGGTGTATACATATGTCAAAACTTATCAAAGTGTACACTTTCAGTATGTGTAGTCAATTTCAGTAGTATGTCAACTGTATCTTAACAAAGCTGTTCAAAATGTTTAAGCTGATATACGTTTGCTTGTAGAGAGATTGTGTTTCTTTCCCTCTCCTACAAATCTTGTTCATTACAGAAGTAAGATCTAGGTAACCCACCTGGTCAAGAAAAGGAGAAGGCTGAGTTTCTGGGGCAGCAGGCCCCAATGCAGCAGGTGAGGCTGCAGCAGGTGACGCTGCAGCAGATGTGGCTGCAGGAGGTATGGCTGCAGCAGGTGAGGCTGCAGGAGGTATGGCTGCAGCAGGTGTGGCTGCAGCAGGCTCAGTTTCATCAGGCTCAATTACAGCAGGTTCAACTGCAACAAGCTCTGGGTCAGGAGGTGTGGCTACAGGAGGCTTGGTTACATCAGGTTCTCCTGCAGCAGGCACAGCTGCATTAGGTGGGCCAAAAGGTCCTACAGGTCTACTTGAGGGAGGGACAAAGGGGGAAGCCCTCCAACCAGAAGAAGAAGGAGGGGCCAACCAAATAGGTAGGGGAAAACTAGGAATGTGGTAGAGGGGGGCTCCAGGAACAGTGAGAATCCAGGGATATGGGGGTACCCCTGTACGAGGGTCAGGATTCCCAGGGTAATTGGGGAAATCATTCCCTGGAGGATAGTAAGGAGGAGTGAAATCATTGTCTGGTGTGGGATAAGGAATATTCAGAGATGGGTTAAGTGGGTAACGATTGCCATTGTAATCCTAAAGGAGAAGCAAATAAGTTAATTAAAGTTGATTGTTCATGTCTTCTATTCTATGTATATAACATGTTATGACTGTGATGATATATGATGAATGAAAACTATTTTTTTAAGAATTTCGATTCAGTCTCTTTCTTAAGGCTAATGTGCTTCCATAATTTTTGAAATAGGAACTAATAATTTCTTAAGAAAATTCAATAAACCCCAATTTAAGGGGAAATATTTTGTGTTGAGGCAAATCGGAGTGTTATAAACTGCACAATTTGCCAGCCTAGGCCAGGACAAAAATAGAATAAAAGAGAGTGCACAGTGTAGAATTGATGCTTCCAGGCCCTCTGCTCGGCGTCCCCTGCTCAGCCTAATGCCCTCACTGCTCTCCGGGTCTCAAAAGTGCTCCACTGAAGCATTCACTCGGTTATGCTTCTTCTAGGTGTCCTTCTGAACTCCTCCCCACCCTTCATCAAAGCTTCTACTCCTTCAAGGCCAAGCATCTCATATTGTTATTAAGAATGAAAGCAGACTGGATATGGATGACTTACTACTGCCTTTTTTTTTCAACTAAGATATAATTGACTATGGTTAATAACACTGTATTGTATGTTTGAAAGTTGCTAAAAGAGTAGAACTTAAAAGTTTTCATCACAAGAAAAAAAATTTACAACTATGTGTGGTGAGGGATGTTAACTAGACTTACAATGGTGATCATTTTGCCATATATACTACTGGCTTTTCATGTTTAATTTTCCCTGTGGTGTTCATGTTTTAAATGAGAAGATTATTAATGTTACTAATGCATTTACTCCTAAATTTCACATGATTCCTTTCAGTAGAAGGACGTCCACATTTTCCTCCAATTGCTCTAGGTTTGTCTATTACATGTATGTAAAACTGTTGGGGAGCTCCAAGGTCACAAAATCATGTGAGAATTTACATAAAATTAATATGTTTCTTGGTCTCACATACATGAAGTTTTATTTCCTATTGTAAATTCGTCAGTTTTTATGAGCAAATTGGTAAGTATTAATTTACATATCAAGATCCTGGATTCTTTGATTCATTGCACAGCTCAATTATAATTCAAGGAATTAAAAGTGTTTATAGCATAAATATCATTTTAAAATATAATAAACTATATTTAACATTTCTTATCATATGTTTATGTTAACACTAACCGGTCGATGGAGTTATTTTCTTTACATGTATTCAAAGTTAATTTGTCGATAACAGACACTATTTATGACCGTAGACTCAGTTTTCATAATGGTTGGAAAATATTGCCTTCTTTATCAACAATACTTTTTCTATGATATAAAGCTTTATTTATATAATTAAATTTCCTTTTAAAGCATTTAATCTAATGAGCAGGCAGTGAAACTACTCAGGATATCAGTATGAATAAAAAATTATAGAAAGTATAAATATAAATACGCTTATACGTATACATGTATTTTTAAGTGAGCCCATCACAGCAAGAAAAGAGAACATGTTTCTAAGTTACTTCCTTAGCTTTTCAAAGAAAAACATAATAATTTGAAATTATTTAACATTATTAGATAGAAAATGCTATTTTAAAAAGAAAATTAACAATGTAAAATACATTTCAGTATCTTAAAGTGTAAACAAATATGGATATATTTTACCTCTTCACTAGATGAGAGAAATTTCTAAAACAACAAAGAAAGCAATGTTGGTTTTAAATTTCACACCACTGAAAAACATCTTTCTTTAGATCCCAGCTTATACTCCGAGTAATTATAACTGACAAAACTCTCTGAGTAACATGAAATTTTCTTTCTTAAGTGATATAGTTGTTTGCCTTGTTTTCCTGTGACTGTGTAGACTCAGTCCTGTTATTCTAAATCCATCCTTACAAAGTAGATATGCAACGACCAATTTTAATGTCTTACTGGTTCCAGTGTTGCTACACTGTCATTAAATTCCTTATTCACATATAGTTATAACCTTTCAAGTACAGGGAACCAAATGTTTTTATTCAATTCTGTGACTAGTTGCTTACTTACACCAGATGTTTACATTAGATTATTATTTGTGTTTATCACAAAATCCCCAGTGACTAAGCAATGCTTTGCAATATAACTTCTCAGTAAACGTAGATTGTTCCTCAGTGGCTTTAGGATTTTTAAGCTTTTCCTTGATGGATATTCAAAGATTTATTTTAAAAAGTTTAAAACAAGTGCCTACTATGTGCTGTCCATGTGGTAGATATTGGGACCCTAAGTACTAGAAAGAACAAAGTTTCTTTGCCTGTGTCTGGGTTGCTATGTTTCCCAGCCAGTCAAGCTTCTCCCTTAAAATTTAATATTGTAGGTAATATTTCTTTCCAATTTAAAGTTGGTTTCCTTAGTTACTGAGTTAGGATATTTGCTCCTAAGGTATAATGCATGATGCACAAGTGATATATGTCCTAGAGTGTTCACAGAGACAAATGTCAATGATTTGTATTGTGAACATAGAGCCCTCGACTCTTATGTGTAAAATCTTGACTCTTACAAAGAAATTCAAAATAATATTTCATACTGTTTTCATTTTTTAAACTATTTTCAAAACCTTCCTACTCCTTCACTATATGTCTAATGGTATTTGGTCACAAGTGTGCACATCCAGATCTTATCTCTCTGCCTTTCTTGGCGAGATTGTCAGGTTTAACTACTGCACAGTTGTGAATAGGTACAAGTATAATTTTCTTAGCACTTTCCTGTCATCAGAATTTGAGACAAAAATAACAAAGAACTACAAAGGAAACCTAATATCAACTGATGATTACTTTGGTCTCCTACACAGGGATAATTTTTATGGGTCTTTTCTGCACAAAAGTCATCTAACCTCTTGGGAACACATTGCTCCTGCTAGTAGTTTGTAGATCGTGCTTTCTCCTGCTCTAATCTTTCATATAGGCAAAGCCTTCCTGAATTCATCACTTAGTTTGTTCAAGTAAACCTAGTACATTGTCCTGAAACTTTACAGAAGCATGAGGAGGAAACCTGGGCGTAGCAAAAATTTTATTACACTACAAAAGGAGTGCACTTACTTATGCTTCTGCTTTTTGAAAAGAAATAAAGACTTTATGGTAAATATGTTAAACACAAATATATTTATACTCCATAAACATTTTTCTATCAAAGAAGAATAGGTTAATAGCACTAATATTTTATGAGCAATAGCAGTCACAAAATTGCACTGTAAAGAAATCAGAGAGTTTTAAAATGTAAAATACACTTTAAGGTAAAAACAAATACATTTATATGCAAATGAAAAAAAAAGTTTACCTCACCAATGAAGTGGAAACGCTTCTAAAACGAAGAAAAAAATTCTTTCATTATGGTTATTTATTTGAAAATTTCTGTACCCAGATTTCCATATTACTGAAGAATGTATACAGCCTTATTATTAGTATAGTTAATTTCTTTTTGAAATATGAGTCGCTAGTGTAAATTATCCGTTTATTATTATTATCATCATTATATGTTTTTGATCTAGACAATTGTCTCAGAAAGTTTTACTTTGGCTGATATTGGATTTTGGTTTGGATTTGGGTTTGTAATATTCTACATGTGCATAAATCTTACCGCCTGAAAGATCATTCAGCTCTTATTCACGTATCTGGTTTTGCTAATTCTTTCACCTCTCAGGTTTTGTTTGTATTCTGTGTGTGTATGTAAGTGGTCTCTTGCCACTTCTTTACACTTGCAGAAGGACTATATGTCCATTTGTTCTCCAGTTGAGCTTCAATATATTTTATGAAGTCACCACAGATTATGCACTGCAGCATAATAAAAAATAGCATAGAAGCTCATCATTTACTATTTAAAGAATTAGAGTTTAATTCAGATAATTTTAGAAGATAGAATAGCTTGAAATTTGCACAGGGTGATAATAATAATTGTGATAATTTTTGTTAATAATTTCAAGTAGCATTTCAGTTCCTACTGTATCCTAAGTACTCTGCTAAACACCTTACATAATTCTCTTTTTAATCTTCAAAACCATTCTATGAGGTAGGTGTAATAATTTTCTTCTTTTTACAAAAGAGGATATTTAGCACACTCGTTGGTTAGGATCAAGAATTTTCCATCAGCTATTTCTTACATTAGAGTCTCATCTATTTATACTACATTGAAGGTCATTATGTCCGTTTACTTTAACTCCATCAAGTATTTCTTGTGACTCTAAAGGTGTACCTGCAGCAATGGGGCTTCACTGCCAAAGCCCAATCCGGCTTTCTATAATTTGAAGACATAAACTCTGTTAAGATTATCTACATGGGATTCTGGTTCCCTATAATTTTATCCTCCTCCAGCCCACTGCATTTCTGAACTCACCTCTTTTCCTTGCTGGTTATCTGTTTTCAGATAACACAACTTTATTATTTTGATTTTTAAAATTTCTTTTGAAAAGTTTGGCACAACAAACCTCATGCCCATTCATATGTCTCTCTGCTACATCATTATCAACATTATCATAACATATCGTTAACACAAGTCTCTGTCTACAATTATTTGATGGTGACACTATCGCTGCAATTTTAAAAGTCCATTTACTCACCTTTGCAAAAGCAACACACATGATGCAGGCACAAAGTAGAAGCTTCATTTTTAGGGATCCTATGAACATTAATATCATCAATTGGTTGTTTCAGAAAACATACATTTGTTAGTTATTTCTCTTCCAGAGAGAGAGAAAAAAATGCATGACTTTATTAGTCTGACTAGGAAGACCCCTAACAGAAAATTTGGTCCTGCTATTTAGCTACTGACGCATGACTTAACAGGAATGACACTAACCAAAATTATGCTTTTGACAGATGTCTTTTAACAATTAATTGGCTTTAAACTCAACTCATTTACTTACCTAGGGATATATTTTGCAATTAATTTGTCTTGGAAGACTTACTAGGAAATAAAATTGCTTAAAAGTAGCCATTATATAGGTGCTGTGTGGAGATTTTCTTTTTATAGATTCCATGGGAGATTAGCATCACCTACTTAGAAAAATTTCCAGTCCTAAAGTTCTTGCCACCATGTGCTATGGAATAAACCTTTAGGTTTTTTTTTTTTTTTTTTTTTTTTTT